GTTTCATCCATAGTTCACCAAAAAAACTTCACAACTAAGGAGCGAAGTTTTAAAGACGTTTACCGGCTTACCCTTCATAGACGGAATCTCCCAGCAGCTGAAACGCCGCCTAGAAGAAGCCATGCATTCGGACCGTGTTTCCGCTCAGACTCTACACTGCAGCAAACATCTAGCTACGCCCAAAGGATCCAGTTTCGCTGAACAGCGACGGCATGGTGTATAACATCCCTTGTCAAGGGTGTGTCGGATCCTATATCGGTGAAACAGCCCGACCTATAGCGGAAAGGATTACGGAACACAAGAGGGATGTTAGGCTGCTTCGAACCGACAACTCAGCAGTGGCCGAACACGCATGGGAGAACCAGCACCAGCCTGACTGGGAAGGGATACAGTGCCTCGCCCAAGAGCGACACTGGTACACACGGAGGGTAAAAGAAGCCATTAACATTCGTCTCCGCCCTAACAACTTTAACAGAGACAACGGGTTAGATATCCCCAATTTCTGGATGTCAACGATACGCCGCCATGAATCACACGTTACGATAGCAAACGACGGCCGACCCACAACAGGTGAGATTACAGCCAACGCTAGCCAGACGATTTCGACGCGGGAACTTGCAGGCGCCAGCCGGCCGGGCACGGCGCAAGAAACATCATGCGTCAGACCGCCAATCACAGCAGCGCCTGTCCAGCAGTTGTACCGCTCAATCCAACCGGGGGATATATATAACCTCACGCGCAACGTCGCCGCATCACCTGACGAAGTGTCGCAGTAGCGCACGAAACGTCGTGTTCTTCTATTAGCTTTTGGACCACCCATTGCGAGACAAACGGGATATAGTAAGCGAGTTTATTTCCGCAATGGATAATATTTTTAACCTTATATATATATATGTGCTATATGATTACCAAACTCTACCTAATTTGCATAATTTTTTTTTTAAATCAAAACCCCTAGCCCTTATTCATTCACATTCAGAAAATGAGCAAAATCCGTTAAACCTGAACTGACTAATGACAATTCCCATTTTTGGCAAAAAATTGCCGCGGCTCGAAAGTACGTCGGCTGGCGTGCTCCAAAATAGGACGTTCAATATGGGAGCATAGCAGTAACAACTATACCCAATTTCAAACAAGTGGGTCAAACGGTTCCTGAGTTATCATTGACCAAAACCAAATGTTGACGGACAGACGGACGACGACCCATGGAAATAGCTCATCTTGACGATGTCAAGGTGAGCTAAAAATGTCAGTGAGGTTGATGAGAGCAGACTCACAGGAGAAGCCTTTCCTAAAGCCAGATTGATACTTGGATAAGAGATTGTGCTGTTGTAAAAATGAGTATAAACAATCATGCACATGCAACGAGTTTTGATTAAGATAGATGTGATATAACCACACAATACTATATAGTTACAACTCAATTATGAGCTGCTGACCTGTTCATACCTGATTATGCTGCTGCTGCCCTGATGCCACTAGGAACGACCTGTCAGGCTCTGAGGTTGGTGCCGGATCACTCAGCTTCTTGCTTATTTCCTCTCTGGGAAAGACTTGCTGTATGAAGCCCAGCAGTTCAACGATAGTTTCCTGATTCGCTATTCACATGAAAAAACGTGTCAGCATTACTCACTAGTTACACGAAAACACATGTGTTATGCACATGGTTCTTCCCAGGCCTTTAACGTATGTCAGGTTCAACATGGCTTCAAAGCTGAAGCTTATTTGCAACATCCAATAAATCCTCCAATATGCCTTAATTGTCTAATCGGCATGCTTGAATTTCCATCTGTGTTTACTTTTTTACAATCCCATCACAGTCATGCTCCGAAATGATCGCAATTTATTTGTGTATTGGAGCAAATTGTATCTTACAACAAGAGTAATCGACTCCAATTAGCGATCGGGGATGAATTACACAATTGCCTGACATGCCTTCTGAACTTACGTAGGACAACTCTGATGCATGTACCTAACCCTAACCCTCTAAACCAATACAGCTACACTTATGTCAAGTAAATCTCAAAGTAACACCTGACCAACCTGTGACATTGAGATTGTTGAAGGTCAAGGTCGCAACCTGGAGCTGTTCGTTGGGGTGCGCATTTGATGGACTTCGCGGGCTGACCTGTTCAAACTCCAGGTAGATGAGTGCGTCTGAGTCGGGCACGAACTCCAGCAGGGGAAGCCGTGGCGTGTACGACGCTGGAAATGTCGGTGACTGCGACGCCGCACGCGACACACCTGCTGCCAGAACACGCGGCACATTACGACATGCAATTATTAGCAAACTGTGACGGTGACAGTGCGGTGTCATCACCACGCATACTTATATAGAGATAATATAAATAACGAATATATATAATAATATCTAATAATATAAGATATATATATAAAGAGCAATATATTAGGAATGCTGAAGCTCATGAACGTGCCGAAAAAGGAATTGAGGCACTCATATTTAAGTAGTAGTATAAGATGACTAGAGGTAGCCATAATCTATGCATTATTGGGTAATGAGACCTGCACTCAAGGTTGTTAATAATTAGCCCAAGTAATAAGGTGATATACTTGGTGAAGGTAATTCATATAACAATAGTGAAGCCTCTACCTGACATTGAATCAGACTTGGGGACATTTGCAGGCCCACTACTGGCACTCCCTCTGGAGGTAGCTATCTCACTGGGTGATGTAGGCACGCTGTCACAGATGCTACCACTCTGGCTGTCAACACTGTAACCCGCAAACACGTGAAAAAGCACATTATGTTGCTATGTGATACACTACCATGTATATGTAAATACTATGCAACCATAAGATCGATTAAATTTTTATTTTATTTTACAACATATAATAGAGTGGGTTCAAGCATCACAAAACGTGTGCTACCCAATTATATATCAAAATACAGACGTGACACTGAATGATACTTATCTGCTAAAGAATATTTGACAGCTGTCAACGTAAAATTACAGTATGTCCTTGTTAAAATTGCTACATGTTTTGCAATAAATGTACGTGACCCATCAGAAGTAAGTACCACATCTGTTGGTCTGTCTTCACGAGCATAAAGGTTTAATATTTAAAAAATAATGCTTAACACACCTTATAAACTTATGTGAAGCGACGAGCAGTTCAAAATCATGACCGGATGTCTGTATTGCATCAATCAGCAGTAGTCCATGCACAGTGAGTGCTACTGAACTGTCGTATGGGCGCCTCATATAGTTTGCCTTCACACCAGAAACCTGGATAACATATACACACATGACAAACATCAAACATGATTGGGAAAATTGACTTTGTTCTAGTTTATTCACACAACGAATGATATATTGGACATGGTAATCTTGTTCACCAGATGTCGCCACTTGCCTGTAGTTCGGCGATGCTACGGGACCTGCTTTGTATGTCAAGGCTCAGGTCCATCACAGAAAAGTTAGCCAGCAGCAGTCTAGTTTCCTCAGGTAGTTGCTTCTCTTCTCCATCACTAAGTGGAAGACGAAAAAATTGTAAATTGTCTCGAATATCCTACACAGTCTGTGAAAGAACAGTATTAGACAGAACTGTGAAAGTGACGAGAATTTCTTATGTTACTGAATCTTATCGACTCTCCAACAGAACCCTACAGCCGAATTAGACAAGCGTCTCAGCTCACCTGTGCTCTGGAGCCTTTTGTAAACTTATGGTGCTCTGGTACAGAAAGTGATCTTTCATCAACTCCGAGACTTCACGCTGCACACCCAAGCTCCTGCTGGTTCCAGCCACCAGAGGGGACTGCTGATCCCCGAGAGAGGTGGGCATGGGGACACTGTTGGTGGAGTCCACATGACCAAATAATTGAATGCATTTTCGCAACGCTTCAATCTGTAATACAAAGTCCATTTCGTAATCACACAGCCATCCACTATTGTTTCTTTCATCACCATGGATTGGTACTGATGCTGGTGCACATTTGAAACATTTGGCATGTCAAATAAATATTTTAACCTATGGAACTCAATGGAAATGGTTATACTGCTGTACAAACTTCACCTAAAGATCATGGTAATAGGTACCAAAGAAGTCTGTTATTATATGACAAATACCTTCTGTTCATTGACATGAACAACCAACTTGGGAAGAGAACCAGTCAGTGTGACAGCAGGCCACTGTGGCTCCAAGGTGTACAGTATTCGTCTAGTGATTGCAAATAATATTACTGCCTCAGTCACAATTATTTTATGAGAAAAGTCACCTATATAATCCCTACAAACACCAGATACTAGATGGATATAGACACAGATATAGATCAGTTCTCATCCAATCATCAGCATTGTGACAGCAAATGATCAAGTTCCTGTTATCCTAGCTTGTAGCTGTGATGCGTTTCTGTCAAAGCTATTCGCATGAAGTTAACATTAGTGGTAAGTGTTATTTAAGCATTAACATTAGCCTTAAATTTACGATGTTTCTGAAAAACCATAGGGGCCCAGTACTTCCTAGGGACACCCAGTATTAACGAGAGTTAGCTGCTACTCTATGGCATCTATTAGGGAATGCCAGACAAGTGAATTAAAGCAGTCTAGCATAGCATGTACTATCACGGAGGGTCGTGCACATATTTGGGTTTACATCATTTTGGTAATTGAGAAGGGTATGATAAATATAAGTTATATAGAAGGGTATGTAATGCGACACGTTATGGGATAATTTTAGTTCTTTATCATGTTTCTTCTCCGTGTCTGCTATCATCCACATCCGTGCCAACTCACCTCTCAACCTGCAAGCTGATGCTGAATCGGTCAAGGACATGGGTGGTTCCTGTGCCACGCTTTTGTGCATGCTTCCAGTTATCCTTGGCTCTACCCACCAGCACCTGAAGTTCACTCATTTCCAACACGTACCTGTAAGAGTAGAACAACATAAAGTCTATCCACTCACGCCCCTGCCCTTCCTGTCTTCATCAGCTGGCTCACAAACACACAGCACACATGACACCTGAAGGGTACCTCCATGTGTGCGTACGTATGTGCATATATATATATATATATATATATATATATATATATATATACGTACGTACGTACGTATACTAGTAGTACTACTAATATACTACTACTAACTAACCTACTACTACTACTAGTTAGTTAGTACGTACTACTACTAAC